TTTGCTGGAGCTTCTTATTGTACAGTTTGGAAAAAAAAATAAAACTAGGCAAATTAAGGCAATGCACAAAAATTCTGCAAAATATTTATGGCTTTCTATCTTTCAGACTCCTCTAGTAGACTCCTCAATCAGAAGAAAGATCTCCCATGGTAGCCATCTAAGTCCCAATGGAAACTCCCTGTGATGCTGGAGGTAATATGTTATTGCTGCTGAATCCTCTTCCATTCAAGGGATGACCCTAGGTTCTAGTATTACGACGGATAAAAAATCCTTATCTGTTTCCTTAGTAGCATGCATAATTCTGCATACTTCTATCATGTTTTGATGCCTTAATAAATTTTCTTCAAACACAGAATTTCTCCCCATCCTCCCCACCCCCCTTCCCCCAAATGTAATTAAGATATTCATTCAGTCAATTGCCACATTCCCAAAGTTTCCTTAAGGTCAGTAACCATCAGCTCATGAATACGTGCATGCATTCCACAAAGGTTTTTTTTTTTTTTGCATCAGTTACCACTTGTGTATGTTGCATCATATTTACTTCTTTATGTCCCCTGGCTAAGTAAGATGACTTTGGTAAGTTGCCTTCAGATAAGATGCCTTTACTAGACCTTTTTATATGAATCATCAGAAGGGATTCAAATACGCCTGTGTGGGAGGATCAGATATACGCCAATCCTGCAAAAATGTTGGTCAATGGTATATGCATATATCTGAATATGGTAGATATTGCTTGAAGTCACATGAGGAATTTACGGATACATGCACTTAATCTTTTTCTACTTTCTCTGGAATTAACAGGAGAATCTATACCATACTGCCTAGGCTTTAGCCCAGATCAGTTTGATTGAAAGTGATTTGTAATATTTGGTGGTCTGTTTCATGTAGTCCCCAAAAACTGAATGGGGAGGAGGGAACCAAAAAGCTGGCCAAAACGGATCAAGAGAGCTGGATTTATCGGCTACTGGAGAGGATGGAGTTAAGCCTGTAATATACCTGAGGCTGGGGTCTGTTGTGGGGCTCCTGGAGAAGTTGGGATTGTCTGCAGGATCTTTTCTCCCTCCCCAGCAGTGAAGTGTCCATTTCTTTTGGAAAAGTTCCCTAGACTCCTCCTCTTCCAGAGGGGTCACTGCTGGGAACTCACTTTCCCAGCAGTACTTGCATGGAATGGGCACTGAAAAGTCTCTGAGTTCCTGTCAGGGCATGATGGGAATTGAAGTTTCTCTCCCTCTCTCTGTTTTTCAGCCAATAAAAGGCCTGATTATGTCTATGCTCTGGTTGGCTGATAGTGGACCAACTGGTGACTACAATTCCCAGAACCCTCTCTTGCGGTTTGTCTTATTTTTTAAAAAAAAATATATGGTAAAAACTTAAAATAATTCTAAAAAAAGATTGGATTGGTGAATTGTTCTGAAACGTGGCAGGGCTGCAGTTGTAAATGGGGTTTAAAACTGAGGTAGGTTTCATGCAGATAGGCCTTCAAATGACTGGGGTTTGAGCCTTTAAATTTTTCCATTGTAGCCAATGGGCTGAATCTTTGCGAAATGAAAACGGCAGCAATTTGTGTAACTTCTTGGTAAACGGAATTGGGTGGGAGGTGGGGGTTAGCCAAAAATGGACTCTAAAACGGCATGTCTTTTGGCTGAATTGCACGAGCCTAGTTTACTGTTCCTTGCAGTTACGCATCTTGTTCATAACTGCTTCCCTGAAAAAAGCCATTTTTACAGGAAAGAGAAAGGTGCTGGTGTTCGTAGTATATTAACCTTACAAACAGACATATGTATGAAATCTGCATGAAGCTGAAACTGTAAACTTATTAATTTACAGAGGAAAAATAAAGCAAGACATATGGCCATATTGTAACAACAGTGGCATGGATTTCTGAAGAACTACCTTTTTGCTGGGATATGGCCAGAATTATTCTTCACACAGAAGACCTTCCTCGTTTGCATACCCACTCCACACGTTGCCTCACCATTCCAGTTAACACTAGCATTCAAAGCTGTTATCAATATATTTTCTGAACAGGAGCTCCACGAGGATGTTTCCCAGTACACCAAGTTGCATGAGTGTTCATTACATAGGCGGTACTCTTGTAATGTGCGTGTTGGAGGACATGGCTTTCCACCTGTATGGGATAAAAGAAATGCATTTTGGACTACTGGCTTGCTGGATTGAACACATGAAGTGAAATTCCGTTCATCTTTTTTTCTTTCATGACACAGCCTTACTATACTCGCATGCTGCTGCCATATCACATCAAGAGGTAGAGGGGTAGGGGAATGGTGAAGGAGCTATGTAACTGATCTAATATACAATCCTCAGGGACCTATGATATATGGTAAAATCCCTGCATCTTGGGGGATACAATCCTGAACTTTCCATGGAAACAGGAAACCTTGCATAATAAAAATGCTATTCAAATGAACGACTTCTGTCACCTTGGAAAACCTCAAAAATCCCTAGAGTGGTGTTCCCTTCAGGAATTTGTTGGATGGTCCAGGGCACTTCTACAGTAAAGTGCAATGGAAGCATTCCATAGAATCATCTAGAGAACGTAAATTCCTAGGGAGGACATATTTTATTTGATGTTAGTGAAGTCATGGGTATGGGAGTTGTAATATACTAACAGTATTTTTCTTAAATCTGGAAAGTATGTCTTGACACAAGCATAATCGACTTGGTGGTGTTGGTTGTGTGTCTTAAGTAATTTCTGATTGATGGTGACCTGATTGTGGGTTTTGCTTGGCAAGATTTATTCAGAGAGATTTGCTGTTGCCTTCTTCCAAGGCTGAGAGAGTTTGTCTTACCCAAGTTCATCTAGAGGGTTTCCGTGGTTATGTGCAATTTTAACCCTAGTCTCCAGAGTCATAATTCAGTGCTCAAACTGTTACACCATACTGGATCTATCTATTCAGTGCTAACTAATCAGAGAACTTATTCAAAAGAACTCAGCCTGCCACTGATTGGTCACATAATGGCCGAGAAGAAGCAGAGATGAGTAAAGCCATGAGTGCCACATTTGAGTTGACACTGGAGTCCAGCTCTACTGTTAATGGAACTGGATTACTCCTTCTAGAGCTGGCTTTAAGATGTAGTATCTGCTGGATACTGATATGACTATTTTTTTTTTTAAAAAAAAAACCTTCATGCATAAGTCAAAAACAAAGGGGGGGGGAATGAAGTCACACAGTGCCAATTTTGACAACAATTCAAATTATTGAAACTGAGTAACTTAACTAGTGATTCATTACAACTCTGTGAAATTCAAATTCTCTTACAAAACAGGAGGAATTTACCCAATCACATGCTGTGGTGAAATGTTTGTTTTCAATGAAATAATGTTGTAACAAAAACAGCAAGGCCAACAAAAACTAGTTGTGTGGGAAGAGGGGCAGGGTACAACTAACAACCTCAGCAGATGAGGTACTTTTTGGTGACATGCATCAGTTAATGTTTACTTTTGCATCAGAGCCCACTATATTCCACAATGTAGTACTACTTCCAGTGGGGATTTGTTGTAAAAGTAAATACAAACCAATGCATGCTGCTGCGAAAACCACACAGGAAGCTACTAGGGCTGGGCGGTTTCGTTTCGTTAATTCGTAATTCGTTAAAAATTCGTTGTTTTTTTTTTGTTAACGAAGCGATAACGAACCATTCTGGAGCAGCTTAAAAATGACACGAATTTTTCAATTCGTTTCGTAAATGCTTCGTATTTCGTCATGTATTCGTTTCGTTATTGGTTTGAGGTCGTTTCGTTATTATTTCCGCATGTCTGGGGCAAGTTTTATAGTTGTTTTTTGTTTAATTAGTGAAAAAAAATTATAATATCACACCAACAGTCAACAACAGAGGGAGAGGGAAGCTTCAGAAGTTCCCCCTGTCCCATTTGGAGGTTTTTTAGCGTATTGGGCGGTCGCGTCCGCCATTAACGAATCGATTCGTTATTGTTTCGTTATCGTTTTGTAATTTTTTTACCATTTACGAAATTTCGTAAATATCGAACTTTTTTTTTAAAAAAATCGGAATTCTTTTAAATATCGAAACGCAAAAAACCCCAAAAAACGAATTGATTTTAGAAACAAATTTTTCCGTTGTTACCCAGGCCTAGAAGCTACCTGTGTTGTATTGGATCAATGGGAGGAAGAAGGGCAGCCAATGCTTTCCCCCATGGGATGGGGCAACAGGTAAGTTGGGCAATGTGGAGTATAGGGCAAGAGGTTCCACACGCATTCCAACAGGCATTGCCAGATTTGCCACAATGCATGGTGATTCCAGCAGCCCATCTGATTGGGTCTTTTGTAAATACAACTAAACATAGTTGCATTTTGTTACATGTAGGAATCAGAGAATTGAGTAGTTATTATATATACTCCCATATAAATTAACCCAATATACACATTCATAGATGGTTTTAGGGCCAAAATTATTGATTGTGATATGATCCATGGAGAAGTTGAGAGTCATCCCATGTAGAGGGGAAAGCACCAATGCTACCTAAGGGGAGCAGCCACTCTTGTCTGCAGCCACCACTTCTCCACATGGGTATTCAAAAAACAGTGTGATCATGGAGACAGTAGGTGTTTGTGCTTCTTGTAGTTTCTCCCAAGGATGAACTAAGCCAGGGTCCTCAAACTAAGGCCCGGGAGGCAGATACGGCCCTCCAAGGTCATTTAACCGGCCCTTGCTCAGGTTCTACCTAAGTCTGAAATGACTTGAAAGTACAAAACAACAACAACAATCCTATCTCATTGGTGTGATATTATAATTTTTTTTCACTAATTAAACAAAAAACAACTCATTAGCCAAAAGCAGGCCCACATTTCCCATTGAAATACTAATAAGTTTCTATTTGTTAAAATTGCTCTTCATTTTAATGATTGTATTGTTTTTCAGTGCTTTTGCACTACAAATAAGATATGTGCAGTGTGCATAGGAATTCATTCATGTTGGGTTTTTTCAAATTATAATTCGGCCCTCCAACAGTTTGATGGACTGTGACTTGGCCCTCTGTTTAAAAAGTTTGAGGATTCCCTGGACTAAGCTCTTGCCTTTTTTTTTTTACTATTCTACTCAGAAAAGAGTGTGAGCTTTTCATAATCAAACCAATTGATTCTGTATGGATGCTATCCAATGCATGATGGGAGTTCCTCTTGACAAAAATATGTATATTCTGCATTACATTATTTTTCTATGAGAAATTCAAAATGTTGAGAAGATATTGTTTCATTTCTAGATGATTAAGACAATCTTTTGCGGGGCATGGAAATAAAACTACATCAGTGTTTCCTTTAATAATAAAAATAAACCCTCCTTTTTCATATTTTACATTTTGTACAAAATATTATTTGGCAACAATTGAATGAATATTTAACAGTGTTGCATCTTCCCACTGATCTCTGCAATGCTTAAAAGCTACTATTCTATAGAAAAATGATGGCCCAGCAAAAGACAGCGGATATACAAGTTTCCATTGAAATCCATCGGTTAGGTGAAACATGACAAATGGACTACACTGGAGTAAAATCTAATAAAAAGAAGCAGTATATTTTAGCTGTTATATCCTTTTTCCCATACAAAAATATGCTATGAAATATTTAATGTACTATTCAATCTTTAACTAAAGTATATACGTTTTAGATAATATACTATATTTCAACAGGAAAATGCCCAGGCGTACTTAACATAGTTTTTCTTCTGTATTCTTAGTGGGCTTTCCTGGATTTAAGGATCGAAAGTTACATTCGATATTACTTGGAACATGCATCATCATTTAATTAATCCCTCTATGTAAATTTATCTTTTTGAAAAATCCAATATTCTGATGTATTAAAAAGCTTCATTAAGTCATGACTTCAATGTTATCAGATACAATTTGGCAACACAGAGGATTAATGAGTATTTGTACAGAGCTTTGTAGGTGCAATTTTTCCCCAGTGATAAGGATTATTAATTAGTATTATTACAATGGGGTTGGAAGCTAATCCAAATGGCTCTTCAGGGAAATGTGAAAGAGGACACAGCCTTGAAAAGCTAAAAACTAGAAACACTGCATACCATATCACATTTTCATGCTCAAAAACATGTTTTTGATTATTCCAGTCTTCACTGTTCACAAATTCTTGATTCTGATTTTATTTTATAAATTGATTATTATACTGGGCACTATTATTGAGCTAAAATTAAGCATCCGTATTACGGAAGGAAGGCAAAAGTGGATTTTAAGGAAGCTGCAAGAGGAATAATTTAAAGAACGTACAAGGGTAGGTATTATAGCGCAACACAATTGGTATGGCTCCAGGACTATGACTTTGGATCTGGGTGGTTTTAATAATTGATTTTAATGTATTGCTGTTAAGATTTTTTTTAACTTTTATGGTTTTTAAGGTGTATGTTTGTATGGCATTGAATTGTTGCCACTGGTAGCTGCTCTGAGTCCCCTTCGGGTTAAGAGAGAGCGGGATACAAATATAATAAATTTTAAAAATTAAAATTATAGGTAGTGGGTTCACGGATGTGGGGAAGGAGGGATAGTTCTGTTTGTTGTATTTGTTACTGTCATCATAGTATTTTGTTTCATTCACAACCTTTTGTACTAGTTGTAATTGACACACACACACAAACACACACATATATATTAAAAAAATAAAAATTAAGTATCTATCTGATATCGTTTTAAGATTTCAAAACTTGTGACAGATCATTCTATAGTCAAAATACGTGTCATATATTAGGAAGGAGGAATGTTCAAGGCATTGTTCAAAACAACTTTTCAGATGAATCATCCATGCACTGGATTCCAGTCTTCTGAGCATTATCAAAAGCTTTATCTAAAGAAAAATACCATTCCTAAGCTATGATATATTTGCAGTATGAGAATGTAAAGTGCTACAAAATTAAGAAATGCTCCAAGGGACCAGCTGTATTATTAAACAGAGCAAAAAGTCTTTCAGGTGTCGTGGAAAGGCAGCAAACTGTTGGTTATTTAATGTATTATTTTTATATACTCAATATTGAGAAGGACAAAAGAACTGGTGGAAGCTACTGAAGCAGGTAACAAAACAATGTATGCAGTTTTGGACAGTATATAAATAATACATGAAAGAAATGTATCTTGGACAGCATATGTATTATGTGTTGGTTGGAAAGATTGGTCCTCAGTAAATAAGGAAATGCCAACTGAAATTATTCTGTGATATCTAAGAAAACCTGCAAGGAGACAAACAAGAGATCTGCTGCTCACCTTCTCCTGGCAATGCTAGTATAGATCTTGTTCTGGTTTGTCTCCCTTCTGCATTTTTACTGGAGCATGAGTGAGAACAAGATGACCACTGTGACCATTCAGCCACAACACAGTCCATTGCACACGGCACTTCACAAGTCACTGTTTCTGAAGTTGAAGGAGAGGCTTCACACAAATCTTCCGATACATCTTCACCTAAAAGCAACACAGAGAGAGAAAAACACTGGGGTTAGAATAAACCACTTCAAAAGTAGTACAATAGTATCAGTGGAACATAACATTTCCACATTCATTTTACATTGAGAAATGTTCCTTGCTTGCAATCCAATCTTTCTCTATTACAGAGGATCAAAAACCTCAAGAGACTGTGTTGATATTTTTGGTCTGACTTCTGACATCTGCCTTTCTTATATATACACTATGAACAGAAGGAGTGGGTAGGTCAACTTTGTTGAAACACATCCACTTTTGGTTTACATTACCTGTATATTACTGCTCCACATTCTTGGAACTTATAAATTGTATTCACATTATGCAAATCTGCATGCTTTACCACATTCTAAAGACCCACAATGCCTTACTATTGAGACTATTGGGAACTAAAGTCTAAAACACCTAGAGTGTGACCTTTATTTTAGCATTTGCTCTAAAGGTCACATTAAATGCACAGCTATCACCAAAAGGAACCAAGCACTTTTATTTATATATAGCCACCATGAGTTCACAAAAACACACTGCAAAATAAAGTTATGATTAATAAGAATTCATAAATTAGAAGAACAGGTACTCTGTACATCATTATCTTTCATTTTTTTCCCCTGGGTAACAATGCATAAGGATTAAAATCAGGCAGTCTTTGTAGACACAGGCTTATCTAAAATACAAATATATCCATCCTTCATGAGGGGGGAACTTCACTTGTGGGCGTTCTCTCACATTTGAGTACTATTTCCTTTCATTTGAATAAACTGGATAATTTGGTAGAATATCCTGCACATCCTCAATTTCCTGTAAAGCTCAATTTCCTCCAGCACAAAGGCTTTTTTTTATACCTCTTATTCAGAACTGCCACTGGCCTTGTTAATTAATTAATAAGTTAAAATTAAAATACATAATTATAATCTGTTATGAAACTTACAAATATGTTTACAGTACAAAGACAAATTATAATGAAAATGAAGATATATCTTTAATAGATTAATTATTTTTCAAGCACAGACAGTATCATTATGTAGCTGCCAAGCCATATCAAGCAGCCATTGTTTTATCGAATTTTTATCACATTTCCACCCTATAGTGCTTTGGTGAATTTCAGAAATCCCTGATTAGATATCAGGAAATGGAACAAACCCTAAAAGTTTTCTCATTTCAGTACACCCTGACAGGAAAGGACACAGAATCACTAAAAATAACTTTCAACCAATAATTCAAAATAATTATGTACAGGTTGAGTCTCCCTTATGTTTATGTACAATATTTTAATAATTTTGTGAATGAAACATAGTTTGTGTACACTGAACAATTTTGCATTTTGGAGTACTCAGTTCTGATTGTTCTTGAAGTTGGGGGCTGCCATTATAAATATTCACATGACAGACCCATTCTGTGTCTTGCTCCCAAAGATTGGGCTACTGTGATAACATTCATATGCCAGCCCTGTCCTAGGAAGAGAGCAAGACGGGCACAACTCAGACAGTCATCTTGCCCACCTCCTGAGGATGAGGATGCTGTACTTGCATGCCGAAAATGGGACTGCTGCCTGAACATTCACACAAGAACATCATCCTCAGGAAGTGAGCATTGAGGAAACAGACAGTCGCAGGCCCTGTTTTGTCTGGGCAAAGAAAGGGAGGTATTGGAGAAAACAGAAGTGCTTGGCACACAGGAAGACAAAAAGCAGATGTATTGGCAAGATAACTGATGTTACAGGTGCATGCAGAGTCTGTACCTTCTCTGTGTGCCACATGTTTCCATTTTCCCCTTACTACCTCTCTTTCTTTGTCTGGGTGAAACTGACACTTGTAACATGCAGGAAAAGGAAAAGGAGTTAAGATCTGCAAAGCAAAGTCACATGTGAAGCCTGCTCCTCCTCCTATTGCCCATTGAGTCCACAGCATGCTTCCTCCCAGTGAGGGTCATGGTGTCAGTAACCCATTTCCCTCGTTGGAAACATGTGCATTCCCTTCCCTTGTGGGAAGGGGGTGCATATCAATTTCCACAAAAGTGGAAGAGCGACTATATTTTGGATTTTAGAAATCTGAAGAAGGGAGGCTCAACTTGGACTACAAACTGAACAAGAATCTTGACTACTTTATGTCTGCATAAACCCCCAGTGGAAGCAGGAAGGACTATCATGCAAAAAGCAGGTCCATATTATGTCCTCGTGCTCACATAAATTCTCAGATGTATGTTCCCTTGCTCCTACAGCATTTACAGGGGCAAGCAAGTACTGAGAGGTATATTTCCTCCAAAACAGAGGTGAAATAAAGTTAACAAGGGCCCTCCATTGACCTCGAACACAACACACACATCATCTCTCTTTTTCTGCAGCTATACTGTATTACCTGCAATATTTCACCCTAAATACACCTTATTTGCCAGAGCTAATATTGCCCCATATATTTTCTCTACATAGAAACAGAAATCTTCATAATTCCTCATTCAAATAACAATTATTCATGATGGTAAAAGAAATGGACATGATTTCTTAAATCTCAGACTCTGTGATACGCTGGTGCAAGTCACACACAAAACAGAAATGTATGCTAATATATAAAAGGCCCAATTAACAAGATTTAAATATGGTTAATATAACTATACCCTGAATCATTGTCTGAACTATTTTTAGATCACATCTCATTTTTTTTATTTTGAATGTTTTTCTCCAGGCTTAAGATATTTGCTAATCTTTTGTAAATGCAAGACAGACTCAAATAATAGTGAATTATTTTAAAATGGAATTGGGAAGGCAACAAAAGCAAGAACCACATCTGGAGACAAAACCATCACCTCATCAGAAACCAGAACTGTGCCTCTCGTGAAGCTGCCTGGCCTATAATTATAATGCAGAGTGTAAAGATTTCAGTTGCTTTGGCAAGGCAACATGGATATACCAGCTTGCAAATAAGACAGACAGGCTGCCAGTGGAAGTGCTTAAACCTGTCAATTGTGAAACAGTAATTTCAACATTTATATTCCTAAATGAGGATAGCCTCATAGCCCCTGAGGTGTAAATAAAACTTTTCAAGCATATTATGGAAAGTAACTGGGAAAATCAAGAAGGCAATCATGCTACACAAGATGTTTTCATACACACTCACATGAATCCCCTTCCTCCAGGACTTGTCTTTGCTCATCAGACAAATCTTGACTTGTCTGATCACAGCATTATTATTCTAGCCAGCTGAATGATGAAAAATATTCAAAATCCTACTCTTCCACACAAGCCTCTTCTCATGAATGAATATCAGTCTCCTTCTATGACATGTCTGGCAAGATTCCCTCACTGCACCTACAACCTGTATTTAATCATTCTCTTGAAATGGCCCATTTCAGCCACAGCACTCTGGGTGTTCACATCAAGCTGACAGTTGAGTAAGCCAGGAGAAGGGGAGAGAAAGAAGAGGAAATCTTAAGCCTCACACCAATTATATGCTTCCCTCTGTAAGTCATTCAGCTATTACCGTCCTTCACAAGGATTTTGACAGCCTGCCTGTGTGGCAATCAACACACCACATCTCTAAGAAGTGGGGTCAAGGTGGAAATTGTAAGGACCCCTTCAAAGAAAAGCTAAGACTGGAAGATTTTAATACTTTAGACTAGCCAAATGGTTTTCACCATTGCTCTTTATGAGAAGAGTAAAAATATCCCATTTTCATTCAAAACATACATCAGCCAGAAGCCTTATTTCCATCCCCTTTTTTCAGTCAAGATGTAATAGGTTACCTGTATTTAATGCTTGTCAGAATGCATCTAGATTATGCTTACGGGATAATGTGTAGTACCGGCGGAACCGGAGTGGGCCTTGGGAGGCAAATATATGTTTGTATTTTCATGTAGACATAAGTGAAACTACAAAAAAAAAGGTCAGTCCTGAAATCCTGTCCTATCTTTAGCAGGAAAGAAAAGAAAGAACTCTTTAATCTACAAGCTATATCTAAAGACAAATAATATCTTGTTAAAGAATTTGGAATTAAGTGGTTCTCAGGTTTCAAATGATATCAAGCAAACTTGTTAAGAGAGGAAAGGATAAAGTTAAGACATAAGTAGCACTAGCAAGTATCACCACGTCACCAGCTTCAGCAAATGTTACAAAAAACCATTGAGAACAATTTCCAAAGATGTCTGGGCTGCCTGCCAAATAAATTATAGAAAACATTTATTTAAAAGGAGACTATTTTGGAAAAGGTAAAATGGCTAAGAAAAGTGGAAATACCAAAGAGAGTAATACTTCACAGTCCCTGGCTCCCAGCATAATAGCATTCCGCCTTCCATTTTTGTACTAAATTTTACAATAGGCTTTATGTTACGCTGGAACACGATATGGGTTCATGGTGACTGAAACATATTAGTAAAATTCAGCAGCAGCTAAAGGAAAGCTTCCTGAGAAATGTTCCTGAACTTATCCAAATACATTTGGCATACTTCAGAATTTTTCAAATGTTTTGCCTGACTAACCATATCCAGATTTGTCTCAAAATTTACTTTGGTAAGAATGTGATGGAAAGCCTACACTTGGTACAAAATATTGCAGGAGTTGTGACATTACGCAAAGTGATTTGCTCATCCTGGGCTATAAGTTTTCTCAACATACTTCACATACCTCAATATTTGAGAGAGTGGCTCCCCCTATATGTGTTTATTGGAGGAGTGATGTCCACTGGTGGGGCTTCCTGTGTGTCCCACCATTAGATGGACACATTATGCTGAGACTTGGGGAGGGTCTTCTCAGCCATGGAACATGTATTGTGAAATGCTTTCTCCTTGGAGGCACAACTGGCACCAACACATTTTTCATTTAGCCACAAAAAGAAAACTTGGCCTTATTAAATTCATCTCAAACATAGATTACATGTTCCCAGATCCCCCAATGTGGAACTTGCTTCAATTTTGCAAGGTCTTTGGAAGAGAATGTGCAAGTTCAGTTCTACATCCTTACCACTGAAGGTCCAAGAACTGAGTTGAAGGACTCAAGA